GATCCCCCTCACCCCCCAGCAGGCTCAGGCACAAGGGATCACCCTCACTCCTCAGCAGACTCAGGCATTGGGGAGTGCCCTCACCCCCCAGCAGCCCCCTATGGAAATGAGGGCTCCAACCATCACATTATCCTCCAAGGACAAACCAGAAATTTCTGTTAAACTTCAGGAGCTCCAAGGGATCCCTCTTCCCCCTGAGGTGGGTCCTGAACAGAGGGTTACTTTACTCCCTGAAGAGGTCCCTCTTACTACTAAGCATAAACCAACGATGGGCATCTCCCCACCCCCAGAGAAGTCCTTGGATTTGGGGTTCACTCTTACACCTGAGGAGGCTCAGGCATTGAGGAATCTTCGCGATGGTAAACAGGCCCCAAGCGTACAGATGCCATTCCCCCACAAACAGGCACAAGGCTTAGGGCCCCCTCTCCCTCGGGAACAAGACCAGACAGAGAGGCCTGCTATGGCCCTTACACAGACGCAGGCGTCGTTCCTTCCAGAACAGCCCCATGCAATGCAGACGCCTCCACCTAAAGTAGCAGCTCAAGGATTGCAAGGACAGGTCCAAACACAGAGGGTTTCTCTCACACCAGAGCAGACCCAGGCACTGGGGCTTCCTCCCACTCCGGAACAGGCTCAGACACTAGGGGTCCCTCTCAGTTCTCAGCAGGCCCAAGCAGTAGTGACCTTTCTCACTAAAGAGCAGGCCAAAGCATTGGGGGTCCCTATCACTCTGGATAGTGTTCAGGAAGAATCCAAACCTCTTCAGCAGCCCCATGCTCTGAAGGTCAGTCAGGTACGGACCTCATCAACTCCAGAAGCTCCTCCCACTTTGGAACACATCCAGGAATCAGGAGTCCCCCTCATCCCTGAAAATGCCTGGGTATCAGCTACCACTCCCTTAGGACAACCCCAAGCACTAGGGGTTCCTCTTACCCCAGAACAGATCAAGGAATTACGTAAAGCCCATGACTTGAGATCTCCCTTGACCCTTGGGCAAGTCCAACCTTTGAGGGTCCCCATTGCCCCAGGACAGGCCCAGCCAGTGGATACCACTATCAGGCCTGGGGAGGACCTACCGTCAAGGGCAGCTTTCCCTGGAGAGCAGCTTTCCCAACACTGGACTGGCCTTCCTCCAGAACACACCCCCAAAGCCGGGAACTTTCCTGTTACTGCACACGCCTTCCCACCGGGTGCTCCTCCCATTTCTAAGCAGTCACCCATTCCTTCTATTGTCAAGCTATTTCAAGAACCGGCTTCCTTGGCATCAAAGTCTTCTAGGGGCCTGAGCCCGTTCCCGGAATCATCTGCTGGTTCTGAGACGCCCTTTGCACTTGAGGTCTCTCCTCCTCTGCAGATAGCTAAGTCTCTCATTAAGTCCCACGATGGCACTGGGGCAGCCTTCGTAACGGGGAGTGGTTCAGCCCCTGGGAAGTTCCTGGGACCACCGACTGTTCCTTCCTCTCTGCATTTCCTGACACCAGAGCTCGTCCCATCCCAGGGCCTTCTCACACCCCAGCCCTCCCCGATGTTCAAGACTGCTCTTACACCCAAAGTCCCACCCACCTCTGGACAGTTCCCCAGTCTGCCTCCTGGGCAGCATTTGATTGCTGGGGGCTCTTCCATCGCTGAGGATCTCAAGAAACCTAGACCCCCTAGCCTCCTCGAGCAGCGCCATCTGGCATCATGGTTCCCCCCCGTTCCGGGGCAACTTTCCACACCACATGTTCCTCCCACAGCATGGATGACTCCGACTCTTGAAAAAACCCCCAAAAACTTAACTTTTCCTGTCTCCGGGAAAAGTAAGGAAGGATTGGAAATGATTTCTCCTCTGTATTTGAAATCAACCGTGGGCCCTCCCAGTCCTCCGACGTTTGAGACACCACGAGCCCCTTTTACCACAAAGTCAGAAGACTCTGACCCGTTTGCAAAAACTCCGAGACTCCAAGATCCTTTAGCCCTGGAACAATTGAGATTAGCTCAGTCGCATCTCGCTGATTACAGGAAGATGCCAGCATCACCAACCCCTTCCATGGGCAAAGGGGTCCTTCCTACTCTCGTGAAGCCGCCGCCTCTCACTCAACAACCCAAACCATCTCAGACCTCACTTTCGGAATGGGACCAGGGATCCAGATTCCCTCCTATCGATAAGTCCTGGATACTGACCTCAGTGTCAGCTCTCAAGAAACCCAAATTAACCGTGCCTCCTTCCTCTCCCCAAGACCTGGAAGAGGACAAGTATTTTGTTGATGTGAAAGCTCAGAGACAGAACCTGGTACTCTTAAGTCAGGCCACAAAAACGTCTAGACTCCCTTCAAAGTTGTATACAAAAGCGAAAACGCTCATAACCGAGACACTTCATACGGACACAGTTCGACTGGGATACCTGTTCCGCAAATACATTGCCTACAGACTGATCCAACGCGCCAGGTAGATGTGATTATCTTATATCCAGTTTTCTGGGATAGTCTTGATTTCAACTGTTGCTCTATAGCTAGATTAATACTGTTGGATCATATGTTTTAAAAGATTTTCTTTTTATTGTTTTATTAGGGGTTCATACAACTCTTATCGCAATCCATACATATATCACTTGTGTAAAGCACATTTGTACATTTATTGCCCTCGTCATTCTCAAAACATTTGCTCTCCACTTAAGCCCCTGGCATCAAGTCAAGCAGTTGAAGGTAACAAACAGACCCTTCTATTTCAGAAAATAAGGGCAAGGTTATATACTTGATCCTTTTCATCTGTTTATGTCTTTAGCAGAGATGCTAAGGTTTATTTTGTGGATACTGGCTGGTCTTTGAAAAAAAAATCAGCTTCAAAAATGTAGATCTCCTTGCCAGTTGTTCTGAATGTCTTTTTTATCTTCGTGGGTCCACCCAAAGATGGATTATTCTTGAAATGAGCGATGGTGGATTATGTGTTAGGTGCTGCCATGAAAACTCTGCTGGTGAGGTGAACTGGTGGCAACAGGTTCCGGCCCTGATTTTTTTTTCTTTTAATGCAACCATCCGAAAAGCATCAGGACAAGTAACCGTTGGCCTGCCATCCTTAGCATTTGTGTTTGAGGTTACCAATCTATTCTCTAGGAGATTTTTTAAAAACAAATTACAGCTGGCCAATTAAAATGTATTGATAGAAAAGGCTATTGTTGATTATAGTAAAAACTTAGGTCATTTCTGCAACACATGTTTATTGGATGTCCATTATGAACCAACGATGGTTCTAGGTGCGAGGGGTGCAGCAGTGGAGAAGATAGGCCCACAATGCATGGCATCTGCGCCCAGACAGTGCTATAGAAATTCAGTATCTGACATCGTGGTGTTTTTTGGCTTTGCGCATGTGAAACCTGGTATTTTTATGGATGCCGTTTGTGTTAGACAGGGTTCTCTAGAGAGATAAAACCAAATTCCTGATAATATAATATATTTATTTATAAAGATAATTAGATATATAATGAGAAATGAACTGTTAAATCATATACAGATAAATATACAATACAAGAAGTAAACAGTTAAATTAGAAAGCACTATAAATGGCTTAGTGCAACTCACGTCCATGAGAGAAAGTTGAGAGACTAGCAGTCCTTCAAGTCTCTGTCTGATGCCAGATCTTCTTCTATTTGTAGAGAGAGCTAGGCTATGTCAGCACAGCAGACAATCACAAGGCAGGTCACAAACCACCAGTCCCCAGCTCCAGAGAAGTCTTAAAGGGACCTCATCTTACAGCAACACAGTCCACAGGCAAGGCGTCCCACAGGCAGTGTAGCCTTTAAATTGAGGCACAGAACAAGCAAGGCAGCCGCACACTGGTCCGATGATCACAGAGCGAGAGACAAGAAAGGCAAGGCTCACCAAGCCATCCTTCTCTCCGCCCCTCAGTCAATCCCTCCTGCGTTTATCAGCCAGGCTGGCACAATAAACTATCTCACCGTTCATATTATTCCTTTGAATACTGCCTGCTTGTTGATAATAAACATCTCTTAGGAACTAATTAAAAAACCATTCTTAATAAAAGAAAATAGGCAAAGCTCCCTGTTTTCCTGAAATTTACCTGTTTGTATCCTGAATTCACTAGGGAATTAGAGGCTGGAATAACACAACCTGGTGCAAACGAGCCTCTTTCAAGTTACAGTCAGACTTCTCTTTTCAAAGCTTAGGTCATCTGGAATTTGTTGGAAAATGTGTGTTTCCTCTATACTAGTCTTTAACTTTCTCTTTCCACACTGGCTAGCCCCATTCTTTCAAGCCTGTGTGCACATATGAACACTTTCATCCTCTTAAGAATTTTACATACCAGTTCCCTTATATCTTTTAGGCATTTAAAAAAACTATCAACATTTTCTTGTGTGTTCAGTGAATGTTTACATGGTAAATTAGGTTCTAATTTGATAATCTACAACATCTTGTTATTGATATTAGTTTCAATTTTCACAGTGTATCAACATTGCCTTATATCCTTTTCAACCTTCGCTATATTTAAATATTTTTAAAGCAGTACAGTCACATAGTATATTATCAGAACTATCTATATATTAGAATGAAAAGTTTCACCAACAAACCCTAACCCCAGACATCCAGACCCTTCCTGTAAGGCTACCAATGTGTGTGGCCAGAAATATTTTCTGTATAAATAGGAGCGCGTAAGTGCTCTTTCATCCCCTTTGAGCATATTTTAACCAATTTTGACTTGGGTGTTCTTATAGTATAACTTGGATATTCACTATTAGATCAGTTAGGTCTTCATTGGTAAAGAGTTCCAGAAAAAAAATTTTTAAGAGCTCTGGGAACTTTATTTTATGACTGTACAGCATTCCAAAATCTGGATTTACCAAAATCTTACTTAACCTCTGATAGACACAAATGTAATACATTAACAATAAAATCCCTAAGTTTGAAACGAAATGACAAACTTCGCAAAGTAGTGAAAAATGTGGAGGAAATTTCAAGACTATGCGAATAGACAGAAAAACAACATCAGGGAAGATTTGGTGTGAAAAAATGAAGCTTGTGAGGAAGCCTAGAAAATTCAGTAAATTAATATAAGTGAGTACTAAATAATGCATATATACAGCAAGTTTTAAGCTACTGATGGTAACTCATGAAAGAAGCCAAAGTCATTTTCTCTCTCTCTCTCTCTCTCTCTCTCTCTCTCTCTCCCACCCTCTCTTCATTTGAGAAACCCTGGTGGCATAGTGGATTATGTATTGGGCTGCTAACCAGAAGATCAGGAGTTCCAACCCACCAACTGCCCTGAGGGATAAAGATAAGGCTTTCAACTCGTTCTGCCCTGCCCTATAGGGTTATGAGTCAGCATTGATTTGATGACAGTGGAAGTGATGCCCCAAGGGGATGATCGATAATGTTCTCTAAAATAAAATGACAATGATGTTTCTAAGGTGAACCTGACATATATAAAACAAAGAAATATGAATGAATTGGGGGATTGCACTTAATTCTAGCCCCAATCTAAGACATATAGATTAGTTCTTATTGACACGGTCCTGCTTGATGCTCCACTTAATGAAGAGATCACTGAAGATACAGTGCTACGGCAAAGTCTGGTGAGGAAACTAAATGGTGCCGGCCATCAGAAAGAATAATGTCTGGGGGTCTTAAAGACGTCCGAAATAAGCAGCCAGCTAAGCAAGGAGTCAACTAAGTCCACTTGGAAGAAGCACACCAGCCTGTGTGATCCAAGGATTGCAAACAATAGAATCCAAATCTAAAGGAGGGAGTTTCATTAGTTTTTAAATTGTGAGCAGCTGGTTTTTAGAAGGTGAATGACAGTAGAAGCCCACAATCCATTTCCAGGATCTACACATGGATTAAGCCTCCGGTGAATTCCCTCCAGTCACAGTCGAGCCTTGTTAGCAGACGGAGAGCATTGTAAAGAGAGAATGTGGTAAACCTAGTTAGGTCAACATGTTACATCTTATCGTTTGATCTCCATTTTGACCAATTTTAAAGCTGTTTTACCTTTTTATAAAAGTGAAAGTGAAATACACATGGATTAAGCTCGTGGTGAATCCCCTCTGACCATGGACCAGGGGTGCCAATAGCTTTGCTGTCATGCAGACTGCACTGGAAAGTGGACTGTTGCAGATGCAGTTAGGTTACAATTTAGCACCCTATCATTTGATTTCCCTTATAATCTAATTAGATTTGTTCCGATTTTTAATATTTTCTGCTTCCATTTTGATTGACGTTTTTATGTTTTATTTTATTATTCTTGCTAGTTTTTAAATGTGTTTTTTTTTTGTATAAGAAATCCAGGATAGATAAACCTATAGCCACAGGAACTGGATTCACGGTACCTTAGGAGCATGGCAGGAGAGGCTGGGGGGAAATGGGAAGCTAATAACAATGAGTACAAAAATGAAAAAAATGTTCTAAAACTAACTGTGGTGATGATTGTACAAGTCTTCTTGATGTGACTGAACTATTCAATTGTAATGACAAATTACATGTCAATAAAACAGTTGAAAAACCCAGAGGGGCAGGTCTTCTCTGTCCTAGAAGGTCACTGTGAGTCTAATGGATTCCGTGGCTGTGAGGTTTTTGTTTCTTTGCTTGGTTTTAATGTGTCTTCTGGGCTAAACATTGGATTACTAGCCACAGAGTTTGTGGTTCAAGTCCACCAACTGCATTGCAGAACAATGAAGCTGTCTGCTTCCATAAAGAGCTACAATCTAGAAATGCTAAGGAGTAGCTCTACAGTTCTACTCCGTCTCATATAGGACTACCATCAGTCAGAATTGATTCCATGGTAATGAGGCAATTTTTATTATTTTGTCCCCTACGATATCTTTTATTTCAAATAGGCACATTGAAAATTGTAATATATTGCAATAATATAAAGCAACTTACTGAAATATCAGCAAATCCCATGAAGAGTTGGTAAAACTTTGATAGGTAGATTTTTGAAAATTTAATCATATAGCAAACTAGATTAACGTCTAGTTAAGCAGGCCTCCCACCCTAATCCACTCCCCTTCTACTGACTGGAGATAGGGTGAGAATCGAACGTAATGGAGCCCAGGTTTGCTGACTATATCATTATCAGTCTAATTCTTGCTTTCTCCTCCTCCTCCTCCTCCTCCTCCTCCTTCTTCTTCTTCTTCTTCAAGAAACAACATAAGCAAACAATTACAAGACATCCAAAACACCGGGAAAGGCTACGAGACCCGGAACCTCTGCATCATGCTGAGTCGGATTGATGACTACCAGAAAAAGGTGCTGCAAACCTGGACAGAGAAGCAGACGTCTCTGGTGCAGAAGCGGACTCGGTGCCTGAGGAAGATGACAGCCTTGTTTACACAGGTGTGTGCCCTTCTCTCGCCCCAGGTGCTGTAGGAAAAACCAAAGTGGTAATAAGCCTTTGAGCATAGCATTGCCTGAGAAATTCCTCCATTGACCCAGAGCAGGATTCCTGCCAGACTCTCTCAATGAGAACAAAAAGAGAGGAAGAGACGTCTAGAACATTCAACTTCTTCTAGCAATCCCACATCTACCAGTCTCTCTCTCTGTGACTTCTTGAAGTCATTGCTCGCCAATTGATTATTGGTGTTTCGTTTTCTCCTTAAAACTACCAGGAAGCAACTTTTCATGTCATGGTTTACCGAAAGAAAATGAGGCTTAACTTGCTTACATAACACCATTAAACACCAATTGCTTTTTATTATCTCCCAGAGATACTCATCAAATTGGTCATTAATATGCTTTGGGGCTGCAAAAAAAAAAAAAGGCTCTTTAAAATGTTAAAAAGCAAGATATCATTTTGAGGACTAAGATGTGCTTGGCCCAAACCATGTTTTATATATATATATCCCCCCCACCCCCAAGCCATGGTATTGACAATTGCTTCAGAAGCATGTGAAAGCTGCAGAATACGTAAGAATGACCGCAGAAGAATTGATGCCTTTGAACTACTGGCAAAAGGACACTGAATGTAATTACATGGACTTCCAGAAGAATGCACTAATCTATCTTGAGGAAGCACATCCAGAATGTTCCTTATTTATTTATTTTTTTTAATTCTCTGTATGTGGGTCTTTGTTAAATTAGAATATATTTTACAATGCAAGAGAAGTCTGGACATGAGCCAGGATAGTCAGCCACACAGGGGGCTGCACCAATGCTGCCATCCCATCCGCCCCTCACCAGGCGCAGAGGTCTCTGGGGAGGGGCCAGGGACTCGGCCTCCTGCTGTGTCTGCACTTCAAGGTGAGGCGGGGGCGGCAGCAGCAGATCAAGGTGGCCCCGCGGTCAAAGCAAGGTGAGGAAGCAGCAGGACAGAGGGCATGGGCAGGAGCGCTGGGCGTCCACGGGGAGGGACCCTGGAGGCGAGCGTGCACACGAGGGGTGCAGCTC